GTGTCCCCTGCATCGGCAGGCGGACTCTCAACCACTGCGCCACCAGGGAAGCCCCCCATACCTGACTTTTTGTGGGCATCTGCATTTGTTCCTCCTGGGTGTCTATGTCAGAGTGGACTTGCGGGGAAGGGTGTCCCGTTTCAGCCCAGAGTGGTTTTGCTCTCCTGTGTGGGTCACGGGGAATGCGAGATGTCTCTGCTCAGTGATGCTCCAGGACACACCCAGCACAGCCTTCTGAGGCCAAGACATGTCTGATGGGGTTCCCCTCTCCCCAGATGAGTGATGTGCTCCTGTACACGTACCCCCAGAAGGATGGGAAATACCGGCTGAAGAACGCATTGGCGGTGGCCAGCATGAAGGTAGATACCTGGGGTGGGTGCCCTGGGGTGGGCGGGGGGACCCCGGGGAGGTGGAGACACAGCCCTGCTTGTGGAGCTCACAGACCAGCGGAGGTGAGGGAGCCTGGGTTGTGAGTTACAGCAGGATCCTGTTGTAGGTAGTCCAGGGAGAGTGAGGGTGAGGGAGGCCTCCTGGGCGGGGGAGCTGAGTCCCTTAGAGTGGATGATATTTGGACAAATAGGGAAGGGAGAGAAGGAAGGGGTCCTAGGGGGAGGGAAATGCATAAGGAAAGGCTTGGAGGGAGGAAACAAGCAGATGTTTTTTTTTCAATTGTGGTAAAATATGCAAAATATAAATTAACCATTTTTAAGTATACAATTTGACAGCATCAAGTACACTCACGTTGTTGTACTGCCACTGCCACCATCCACCCCAGAACTCTTTTCATCTTTCCAGTGTGAAGCTCTGTCCCCATTAAACACTAATTCCCCATCCCCCCTCCCCTAGGCGCTGGGAGCCACCATTCTACTCTCTTGTGTCTGTGAATTTAGCTACTCTAGGGACCTCATATAAGTGGAGTCATATGCGATGTTTGTCCTTTTGTGACTGGCTTACTTCACTGAGCATAATGTCCTCAAGGCTCATCCATGTGGTAGCAAGTATCAGAATCTCCTTCCTTTTTAAGGCTGAATAATAGTCCATCATATGTGTAGACCACACTTTGGTACCCATCATCCATCCATGGACACTTGGGTTGCCTACACCTTTTGGCTGCTGTGAATAATGTACATGGGAGTGCAAATACCTATTCAAGGGGCAGATATTTCTTAAATGTGAGAGAGATGCCAGCCCAGCTGGACATTCTCATGGGTGAGCTTGGAGAGAAGGGAAGGTGACAGAGCTGTGACCTCACTTGCTGTAACTTGGGTCCCAAATACGGGGCTGGTTGGGAGCGGGTGGGGATTCTCAATGAGCAGGAAGTTTTAGGAAGTTCATTCCAGCCCAGCGTGGGGACAGGGTCAGAGAGGCGAGCACTCAAGTGGGGGAATTGGGTGCGGGCTGTCATTTGGGAGGGCTGAGGGACGGGAGGGAAAGAGCTGTAGGGTCCCTGCAGGGGCTTTCCCGCTCCTGAGGCTCCTAACCTGGAGAAGGGAAAGGGAAGCACCTCGTTCAGCTGGGAGGCGGCTTCCCTTTTTGAACCAAAGCTTCTGCTCAGGAGTCTGTGACAGAGGCCGTGAGGGAGGGTGGCCACTGGACAGGTACTTGTCCAGAACGATGGGTTCTAAGAGGGATGCTCGTAGCCTTCCTGGGTGTGGGCTGGTGGCCACAGAGTTGGAGTCGGCAGCCGAGCCCTCACTGCACGCGTGTGCGCACACACAGACACGCGCACACACAGACACACACACACGCACACACGCGCGCGCGTGCACACACACACACACACACACACACACATACAAACACCCCCCACATCTTCCACGTAAGAAAGGTTTGCCCTTTACAATGAGGAAACTCAGGCTCAGAGTAGGGCAGTGGCAGGCCCCCTCCCGCCCCCATCCTGAGGGGCCACTGTTGGTTTCCAGGTCAGCCGCCCTGTGATGGAGAAAGTGCCCTATGCCCTGAAGATCGAGACTTCCGAGTCCTGCCTGACCCTGTCTGCAAGGTAGGAGGAGGGGAGAGGAGGGAAGGTCTGGGGCAGAAGGGGCAGGATTTTGCTGGTGGGAACATTTGGAATAACAGGTGCTGGAAGTGTTGTCATTTTTATTTCGGTATCCTTTTGGGTAAGGGACTTTTGTCTTTTCGTTATTTCTTGTCCTTTTTGGGATCACAGACCTCTTGGAGAATCTGGTAAAACTATAGCTTCTCTCCCCAGAAAAGAATGAGCACACACATGAAACTTTACATAGAGTCTCAGGGGTCTCCAGAGCCCGCTGCTTAAATATAAAAATACGTCATCGTTGTAAAACCCTAAGGGTTATTGGGTCTTTGCAGCAGTAAGAAAAGTTACAGCCAGTGAAAAGTGCATAGTGCACCTTAGTTCACAAAATGGTCTGCGTTTAGGCTTCCAGGTCTGGAGAGCAAGAGAAAAATAAGGAATGAGCATTCATCATTTTACTTTCCCTGTTTGGGGGTAAGGCCTTTCCATCAGAGATGGCTGTTTTCTTTAGGCCCTCGAGCTCTGCCCCGGGGACCCCTCCTCGCTGGCTTCTGGCAGAGAAAGGGCTCCCCCCTCCCTCTTTCGGGGCAACGCCAGGTCAAGCCGGGGTGCGGAGTGGGGGCTCAGAAACCAGGGAGCGGGGGCTTCTGCCAGGGGCCTCTCTGGGCAGAGTAGGGGTACAGAGTTCCCCAGGTTGGGGTGTCTTCTCTCCCAGCCAGCGTGTGACCCGGCCCGGGCGGCAGCAGGTCCCTTTGTGGGCGTGGTTCTGGGTGTGGGATGGAACTTCCGGCCTGACGCACACGCTGTGTCATAGATGCGCTTTCCCGTCCTCAGTGCCCAGTCCTGTGCTGAGGATACAAACTGTCTAAGCCTCGATTTGCTCAGAAGAGCCCACTTTACGGGTTGGAAAGTTATGACCTAGCAGAGCATAACTGCTGTAATGGTAGTGATGGCAAAGGTGACATGCACTGGGCAGGTACCTGCCAGGTGTCAGGCGCTTCCTGGGATCCTCAGCACCACCCTTGGAGGTGGGGCCTGCAGCTCCTCCCATGTGCAGGGAGTTGAGGCCTGGAGAGGGGTTCCACATCCATGTGAGGCAGAACTGGTGTTCAAATGCAGGACTGTGTGAGCCAGAGCACTTCTCCACTACTATCTACGGCCTGAGGGGGAAGAAGTAGCCTTGGAAATTCTAAAGAGTGACCCCTCCACCTGGGGAAGTGAGGGAAGGCTTCCTGGAGGAGGTGATGCCGGGGTGGGTTTCCATGGCCTCTCCTCTCCTTATCTCTAGGTAAAATCAGGGGCATGAGGAGGCCCAGGGTATGGTTTCCTTTTGCCCAACCGTGAAGTGAGAGTAGTGACAGGCCACGCTCAGCCCTTCAGGTGGGGCTGCCCATCTCTCCTAGGCAGAGGCACTGCCCTTTGGCCAGTGGCCTCAAGGAGCCACTGTCACTGTCAGGCCAGTCACCTTCCTGCTAGCCCCAGATACTTCACGCTGAAGCTTCCAGGGGACTCATGCATCTCCTTTTAGGGATATGGCACCTGGCTGCCCACTACCCTCCCTCCTAGGCCAAACTGGTCCCTTCTTCTTGTTTGAGTCCGCACACTTAGTACGGGGTGGGAATGACATCTAGGGGGCTCTGTGAGAATTTCCACCCTGAAGCTGCTCTGGGGCAGCTCAGGCCAGGTGTGGCTCTCACCACTCAGGAGACCCTGCCAGGCTCGGAGCGGGGATGGGAAGTCTTCGTTTTGGATGAGTGAGTGGGAAGTTGTGTGGGAAACTGAGGAGGAAGATGGAGAGAGTGGGACGGTGACCGTTGCCAGCATTTATCCACCCACCCTCCCAGTGGTACCCGGCCCTCAGCCCCCTGCCAGCCTGCCCCCCTAAAGTGTGGGACCCCTTGCTTTTGCACGGTGTTGTGTCCTCGACAGAGTCCTCCACACCACACGTGTCATTTGGTCCCTACAACAGCCCTGGGAGTTAGAGGAGCAGTGTTGGATGTTCCTTGTTACGGGCAGAGCCCGAATACAAGTAACGTTTGGGGCCGCCTGCTCGGAAGCAGCGCTGCAAGCCTTGGCCTGTCTGGCGGGTGGCTGGGCTGGCCAGTGGGGTTTCAGGCGTTGGGGAGAGAGGCTCTGGTGTGGGGGAGGGGCGGGGGCCACCAGGACGTGGTCCGCCCCCAGAGGGCGGAAGGCAGAGCCCTTGTGCACCCCTCGCTCACTCCAGCTTATGCCCACAGCTCCTGTGCAGAGAGGGACGAGTGGCACAGCTGTCTGAGCAGAGCCCTCCCTGAGGACTCCAAGGCCCAGGCTCTGGCTGCCTTCCAGCATAGCGTGGAGGTGAGCAGGGTTTCTGGGGCACCCGTCTCACAGACCTGGGTTTCCCTGGGGCCCCTGCACACCCACGAGGCCTCGCATCTCCTTCCATCAGGGCCCTGGGTCCTCCCCGTGCCCGGCTCAGGGTAATCACTGTGCAGCCCAGAGCCTGGCACCTACGGCTCTATTTGTAACCGAGGTCAGCTCCCTGGGGGTTGCAGGGGAACCTGTAGAAAAGCAGCCCAGCCCACCCACACACGTGCACACCCCGTGCGGGGTGAGGGGCGCCCGTCCAGTTGGTCTCCTGACCCCACTGCTTGCCCGATGCCGCTGTTCCAGATACGGGAGAGGCTGGGGGTCAGCCTGGGGGAGAGGCCCCCGACCCTGGTGCCTGTCACACACGTGATGATGTGCATGAACTGTGGCTGTGACTTCTCCCTCACCCTGAGGCGCCACCACTGCCACGCCTGCGGCAAGGTGAGTCCCCGTCGGGGGCCGTGGGCGTGGCGGCGGCATCGGGTGGGGACCAGGGGGGCGTCCAGCAGCTGCTGCGTGTCGGGCCCAGAGTGGGGCATGTTCACACCAACCCTGTGAAGTTAATTCCCCTTTTACTGATACCCTCCCACCAGGACTCCAGATCCCAGGCCCATCCCACTACACCAGCAAGCTCTCAAAAGGAAGTCATAGCAGATGTGGTGGTTTTCCTGGGATGAAAAGCCTCCTGTCATGGTTAAGGGCACAGGCTCATCAGAAAAACAGATCAGCTTACAGCATGGTGATGATAGTTAGCAAAAGTGTAGTGTATATTTGGACGTTGCTAAGAGAGTAGATCTTAAAAGTTCTCATACAAGAAGAGAAAATTGTATGTGGTAGATGGATGCTAACTGGACATTGTGGTGAGCATTTCATCATACAGTCTCCCTTGTTATCCACAGGGGATTGGTTCTAGGATCCTAGGATCCCCGTGGCTACCAAAATCCCAGGATGCTCAAGCCCCTTATGTAAAATGGTGTAGTAGTTGCATACAACCTACACACATCCTCCCGTATACTTTAAATCATCTCTAGATCGCTTATAATGCCTAATACAGTGTAATTGCTATGTGAATAGTTATAAACATAGCATGAATTCCGTGTAAACAGTGGCCAGCACACGGCAAGTTCACATTTTGCTCTTGAAACTTTCTGGAATATTTCTAATATTTTTGATCCACAGTTGGTTGAATCCGTGGATATGGGACCCACAGACATGGAGGGCCCACTGTATATACGTATATTGAATCATTACATTGTACACCTGAAACTAAAATGATGTTATGTATCGCTTGTATCTCAATTTTTAGAAAAGAAAAACAGATAAGCACCTGCACAGAAACATAATTACTGTGCTCAGAGCACGGGGCCCTGGAGGAGGTGGGAGCGAGCGGGCAGGGGGCGCCGACGCGTAGCTGTGCGCGTGCTGGGAGGGTGAGACCCTCTGACACGCATCACCCCACCAGATCGTCTGCCGGAACTGCTCAAGGAACAAGTACCCTCTGAAGTACCTCAAGGACCGCATGGCCAAGGTGTGTGACGGCTGCTACGGGGAGCTGAAGAAGAGGGGCGGGGACATCCCAGGCCTGATGAGAGGTACCGGGGACCACCCTCCCTTTCTTTCCCACGTGGCTTCTTCCAACCACCTTCCTGGGGAGGCTCTGAACAAAAGCAGCCCTCAAGGAGGAAACCATTTCCCCAAACATTGGTTCTGTAGAAAGTGCGTAGGTGCACCCAGAGGAAGGGTTCCACGGACAACTAAGTTTGGGAAACGCTGGGTCCACGCGTCTGTGGTGAGGACGGTTGGCCGGCGCTCACGTCTGCTCTGCGTAGCGGCCCTCTCTGCAGGCCTGTGTTCCTTGGGGCCTTTTTGCAATAAGGATGATGAGATGGAGAGCAGAGGCGTCATGGTCGCAGAGGGGCTGAGGGTCTTCCAGTAAAGAAGCCCAAGGCAGCTGAGCCGGCCCGTGAGAGCCCGTGCGCAGGGGACAGGCTTCGGCAGAGCAGGGTCAGCTGGAAGGAAAGCAGGTGGATCCTGGGCCTAAAACCAGACTCCCCCTCCCCCACCCCCCAGGGCCACCTGAGGCCATCGGAGAGGACAGCCCAGTCTCATGGAGACTCGGAGAAGAGGGGCTAGCCAGCACTCAGGGAAGGCCTGCCCCCAGCCCTGCCTTTGTGTTAGCAGAGGCGGCTGTGCCCGTCTTTCTGGTCACACTGAACCGCCCCAGTGAGGCTGGGTCCCATCTTGGGAGGGACGGGAGCTCAGATTTTACAGACACGTGGCTTCCGTGCCCATCCGCGTGGACTCTCACCTCCCTTCCGGCGCTTGTCTTGCTGCAGGGCGGCCCGTGAGCATGAGCTTCCCCCTGTCCTCCACCCGCTTCTCGAGTAGCGCCTTCTCGTCCGTCTTCCAGAGCATCAACCCCTCAGCCTTCAAGAAGCAGAAGAAAGTCCCTTCGGCACTGACCGAGGTAAGGCAGGTGGGGCTACCTGCATGGGAGGCTGGGGGTTGAGACGTTTCTCGGTCCTTCTCAGTGGACAGGGACGGACGCCCCGCCCAAGCCAGACCAGGCTTTTCAGGACAAAGAGGATCCCTAATGGGAGGTGTCCTGACTCACGCCAACAAAGGCAGCCCTGAAGCACAGGCCCGTCTCCTGGGTGACCGAGAAGACACCTGTTGGTTGCAGAGGACAGGAGCCCAAGTGGTTGTAGGTGGTGCTAGGAGACATCTCTCCCATCCTTCTCTGCACTTGTCGCCCCAGCCTAGACCTAGTCCCCAGGGTTACTGCACAGATCGCCCGGGCACTTGGGTCTAAAGCCGTTCGTCCTGGCTCAGGTCTCCCACGTCAGCCCTTCCCTGCCCCCTCCCCCCGCCCCCAAGCTTTGCACCATTCTCTCACTCTGGGGGTCCCACATGGGCTCAGGTGGTGAGCCTCCTAAGGGTCGTGGGGCTCTTTGCAGGAAACCTCAGAATTAGCTAAACTAAATTCCATTCTGGAAACAGGTCCAGATTACATGTCTGTATTCTAATCACAACCACAAACAAATGTGTGCCATGAATATACATGCTGTCAAAAGAAGAGTGATCAGCTGTTTCCAAGTTTTTTCATTACTATTCATTATTGAGTAGCAGGTGGTAATAAAAAAGTGTTAGGGATGCAAATTTTAAATGAGTACAGTTCTGTCCATTAACTTAATTCCTTTTGCATTTTAAAAATCTTGTAAATAACACATATGTGATAAAATTTTTTTCACAACACAGAAGACTATATGATAAAAAGTGAGTTTCTCTCCCTCCCCAGACTCCTTCAGTCCCACCCCTCAAAGGTAACCACCATCAAGTTTCTTATGGACCCTTCCAGAAATTTTTGTGCATATACATAATAAAGATAGACGATCATAGATCCTTTTTTTTACCCAAAAGATGATGTACTGGGTCCTCTGTACATTTCTTCCAGTTAATTTATCTTCGATATTATTATTTCACAGTAGTTCATACACATAAATCTCACACTTCTTGCATTGTGTGGCTGTCTCATCATTTATTTAACTAGTCGCTTTCCACAAATTGAGAAAAGATCACCCTCTCACTCACACTGTGGTGTCTGCATGAGCTGAGCTCATAGAACCTGAGTGTTCTGTGGGTACAGAGTTCGAGAACCGTTCTCACTCCTTGGGCATCCGGGCACTATGATCCTGGTGCTGTGTGGATCTGCCCCAGCCAGCTTGGCAGTTTTTGCCCAAAGTGACAACCTTTTTGTTATTCAGCGAAGACTACACCGTGGGCTCTGCAGCAGCCCCAGAAGAAATGCGCGCCCGTCTCCCTCCGCCCTCTCCTCTTCCCCCAGGAGCTCCACCTCAGCAGTGAGATCTGCTTCCCATGGGAAAGTCTGCAGGAA